GTCAGTGAAAATGAGATCCTTAATGAGATGGATTGACACTTTGACTGACTGCAGCAATGGGCTCAAACATAGCAGTGATTATGAGGATGGTGCAGACAGTTTTAAGGACAGAAGCGTAACTCATGATGAACCAGCTATGAATGGATGGTAAACAGAAGAGAATAGGGCTGTATAGGCAGTTGATTTGTGAAACCCCAGGTATGAGTGTCTGGGTGACTGAGAAAGGCTGCTGGGGTAGTCAGTGAAGAGTGTTTCTAGCTTGTAGTGCTCAAAGGGGTTGGAGGCCAGGCCGTGCTATCTGTTCTGGAGTGCAGTTTTATTCACACTCAGGAGCTTCCAGCTAGTACCCATTGATATGGCTCCAGGTAGCCAAGGATGTTTCAACATAACTTTCAGTGGTTAAGGTAAAAGAGGAAGTGCCACTTAAAGTGGCTGGTGGTGAGGATCATAGAGATGTGGGAAGGTGAGGCCATTTCTAGATGGTAATTGGATGTAAACTGATTATTTCTACAGTTATTGATAATGTTGAGTTTTGTCCAGGCTACCTTGCCCCTTTAATAGTGCAGTTGGTGACAGCAGAATAATAAATGTTATTTCAAGCAAGGGATTGCAAATGACAACAAAATTTTCAGTGACCATTAATTGGTGGTGGTGTTGTTAGGTGTCATTAAGTTGGTTTTCATGCATAGTGACTCTGTGTACAACAGAATGAAGCACTGCCCAGCCCTGCTCCATCCTCACAATTGTTATGATTGATTGCATTGTTTCTGTCATGGTGTCAATGCATTGTTGGGGGTCTTCCTCTTTTTTGTTAACCTTCTACTTTACCAAGCGTGATGTACTTCTCCAGGAACTGATCCCTCTTAACAACATGCCCGCAGTATGTCTTCCAAGACAGATTTTTTTGTTCTCTGGCAGTCAGTACTTTTAGTATTCTTCACGAACACCATAATTCAAATACATTGATTCTTCTCTACTCTTATTCATTTTCCAACTTTCACATACATAAGGCTATTGAAAATACTATGGCTTGGGTCAGGCACACTTTAGTCCTCAAAGTGACATTTTTACTCTTGAACACTTTAAAAGAGGTCTTTTGAGCAGATTTACTTAATTCCATATGTCCTTTAGTTTCTTGACTGCTGTTTCCATGAGTGTTGATTTTGGATCCAAGCAAAATGAAATCTTGGATAACTTCAATCTCTTTTCCATTTATCATGATGTTATTTATTGGTACCTTTGTGAGGATTTTTGCTTTCTTTACTTAGATATGTAATCCATACTGACTGCTGTAGTCTTTGATCTTTATCAGTAAGTACTTAAAGTCCTCTTCCCTTCCAGCAAGCAAGATTGTGTCATTTGCATATTGTAGGTTGTTAATGAGTCTTCCTCCAATCCTAATGCCGTGTTCTTCATATAATCCAGCCTCTTGAATTATTTGCTCTATGTACAGATTGAGTAAGTATGGCAACAGAATACAACTCTGTTACACAACTTTGCTGATTATAAACCATTCAGTATCCCATTCTATTCATACAGCTGCCTCTTGGTCTATTGTCAGAAGTTGGGAACTTTTTTTTTTTTTTGCCAAGGACTATTTGGATATGTTGCTATGAAAAAAGCTCCTAGATTTTTTTGAATCTTTAGTCTTGGCTTCGGTTGCCTTGGTAGGACCAGATCACGTGATTTTGCGGGCGTACTCACAGACTTGATGCTCCCACCCCCTGGTCTATGCATAGATTTCTCATGAGCACAATTAAGTATTTTGCAATACCCATTATTTGTAATGTTATCCATAGTTTGTTATGATCCAAATAATCAAATAACCTTGCATAGTCAGTGAAGCGCAAGTAAACATCTTTCTGGTCTTCTCTGCTTTCAGCCAAGATCCATCTGATGTCATCAGTGACATCCTCTATTCCACATCCTATTCTGAGTCCAGCCTGAATTTCTGGCAGCTCCCTGTCAATGTACTACTATAACTGTTTTTGAATTATCTCTTGCAAAAATTTACTTGCCTGTGATGTTAATGATATTGTTCAATGATTTTCACATTCTGGTGGGTCACCTTTCTTTGGAGTGAGTACAAATACTGATGTCTTCCATTCGGTTGTAGCACATTAGCAAATGACCATCCGAAAGCTTTGTTCCATTCATGTCATTAATAGCAACTCTAAGGAGGTAACTCTTCCAACTTGATGGGCTCATTTGCTGGCAGTATGTTTGAAGATGTTCCACTGCTATTCATAAGGTTTTCAGTAGCTAGCCATTCAGAAGTGGTCTGCCTCTCCCTCTTCTTACTCTCTCATAGTCTGGAAGTTCTGTGGAGACTTGTCCATGATGGGTGACCGTGTTTTTATTTAAAATACTGGTGGCATAACTTATAGCATTACAGCATCACAGCAACACACAGACCACTACAGTATGACAAACTGACAGATGAATGGTGGAATCATTCATTAACTTCTAACGTAAAATATATGAAATTCCATTGATACTCTTTATTTAGTAAGAATTTTTATAGATTCTCTTATGTCCTTGGAGTCCTGGTGTGACACTTTAGGATAAGCACTGGACAGCAAAGTCGGATTGAATCACAAAACCAGCAGATCACAACCCACCAAGTGTTCCTTGGATATTCTATACAGTGTCGCTATGAGTCGGAACCATCTCGACAGCACATAACAATAACAACTTATGTCCTCAGTGGTGCAAATGGTTAGGCTGCTTGGCTGCTAATCAAAAGGTAAGGTTCAAATCCACGCAGAGGTACTCTGGAACAAAAGCTTGTCAGTTACTCCTGAAAAAATCAGCCATTGAAAATGCTATGGAGTAGTTCTTCTTTGACTCACATGGGGTCACCATGAGTTAGAATTGATGCAACAGCAACTATTTGGTTTTCTTATGATTTATATTTCCCTTCTTCTTAGTTATTTAGTGCTGCTGTAACTGAAATGCCGTATGTTGATGGCCCTAACAAACAAATTTATTTTCTCACAGTTTGGGAGGCAAGAAAGTCCAAATTCAGAGCTTTGGCTCTGGATAAAGGTCCTTGTCTATTTCAACATCTCTGTGTCCGCCACTACTTGAAAGTGATCCCTATTTGTCTTGGTATTAGCCTTTCTTTCCCTTGTATCTAGGATCTTCACATTGCAGGGACCCCCAAATACAAAGGATAATTATTGTTTGGTACCATCAAGTTGGTACTGACCCATATCGACCTTATGCACAACAGAACAAATCACTGCCTGGTTCTGCTTGCTTATTTAATTTTTTACGTCCCAAAAAAAGATTGACTCTAGATACAAATTAATCCTATAGATGGTATCTGGCCTCTTTAAAGTCATAGAACTGAGGGTTTACGATACACAGGATAATTATATATGATCAGGGCTGATTACATCATGATTATAGCATATTAGATCTCATCATGGGGAATTAATATCTTAACTGCTAAACCACTGAGAATCCAGGTCCAGCCAACTTGGCACAAAACCCTAAGCATATCACTATCTTAGCTTATCTTTTTCCCATTAATTTTTCAGAGTTTTCACCTACAATTTCTCCTTCCGGAGTATTTTCCCAAGAACGTAGCTTTTATATGGGGAAGTACTACTGAACTTAACAGCAAAAGTACATGTACAGAGTAAACACATTGTTCACTAAATAATGAAAGTAACTAAGCTTAACCAAAGTCCCTAGAGTCAGTGTGATTCGGATCCTACCCTATCATTCAGTAATCAGTATTGATTGAGCACCTTCATTGGGTACAGAGTGATGAGCAAAAGCAAGCATAGTCCCTGCCCTCACAGAGTAATGTTCTACTAACTTTTTGTTGGTTTGTTTGCAACCATTGGTATTAATTCATTTCCAAAACTTGTCATAAAACTACATCATAGAGTGATGAAATGAAGAACATAATAGGGCAGTCAAATTTTAATTTCTGTGTCTCCTATAGTGGCACAACATAAACAACCAACAACCAGTCTGCAAAGACTCGTGTGTGCCTTCAAACTTCTGTAATAGTATATTACAATGAATTATAGTCAGAGTTTTTTTGAAAATGTATAATGTGGAAGTTATAAAGCTTGATATTAATATTTAAGAATGGAAATATTGATGATGGAGAAATACATGGGTATAAAGTGTGTTTAAAAATTTGACCCTTTTAAGTGAAATTATATAGTTCACAGATATTTATAAAGCTTAGTAACAATATATTATCATCTAAATGTTGTATAGATAGCAAATCACTGAGTAGTTCTAACTGTTTGAAGGAAGTCCTGGTATAGTGCTGTAGGATAAGCATTGGACTGCTAACCACAAGGTGGGTGGTTCAAATCCACCAGCTATTCCTTGGAAACACTGCATGGTTGGTATGAGTCAGAACTGACTTGACAGCACTTAACAACAACATCCCTATGAAGTTGTTGCTATTCTCTTATATTATCTCATTATAAATAAGGAAACTGAGCCAGAGAACTTCAGTAATTTATACAGAGTTACACAGACTAAGCAGTAGAGCTTGGATTAGAAAACCCAAGCAGTCTATATCTAGTCCTTACTCTGAATTACCATGCTATTGCTGTTTAGGGTTTCTGAAGGCGCACTGGTATCATAGTGGTTTATGAGCTGGGCTGCTAACCACAAGGTCAGCAGTTTGAATCTACCAAGTTGCTCTTCAGGAGAAAGATGAGATTTTCTGCTCCCATAAAGATTTACGGCTTCAGAAAACGTATCCTGTAAGTCAGAACTGACTTGACATCACACCACCACCACTATAGGTTTTCCAAGGAGTGGCTGGTGAGTTTGAATGACTGACTTTGAGGTTAGCAGACCAGTGCTTATCCTATAGTGCCACACTGTGCTAAACTGCCTCTAAAAAAGTAAGAGCTTTTAAATGTTACCCCAACGTCTGCATTATTCTAGATATGTCTTTTTGTTTATCCCTTATTTATTCAATGAGACATTTATATTCCATATGTGTTTGTTTAAACTAGCTGTCATGGATGCATTGGTGGAAGATGATATCTGCATTTTGAATCATGAAAAAGGCCACAGAAGAGATACAGAAGTGACTCCAGTTTCAATATATCCAGGAGATGAGTCTGTTGCTTCACATTTTGCCCTAGTCACTGCATATGAAGACATCAAAAAACGACTTAAGGACTCAGAGAAAGAGAACTGTTTATTAAAGAAAAGAATAAGAATTTTGGAAGAAAAGGCAATTATCTTTTATTTTCATTATTATGTATTGTGAGATAATGAATAATTCTTTTGAAATTTTAAATATTTTTTCCTTCTCTCTTCTATGGTTATACTTATTTCCAAGCGTAATTCATTGTAAATATCAAAATATTAGGCGTTCATTATACTTAGTCACAGTGCCATTCGTATACCATACTATTGGTATGTCAATAGGATTTAATCACTTAGAAGGGACATGCTCAAAATATTTTTCTTTGTTTCTGTTTCTAAATTTTGACCCCCTTCTGGTAGCGTAGAGTTTATAAGTCAGGCTGCAAACCTTAAGGTCAGCAGTTTGAAATTACCAGCCAAAGATGAGGCTTTCTGTTCCCGTAAAGATTTACAGCCTCGGTATCCTTTCATAGTGTCGCTATGAGTCAGAACTGACTCCACGGCACATAACCACCACCAGATAACTGTGAGCCCTGGGGTGGTGCTGTAGGAGAAGCACGACTAGTAACCACAATGTCAGTGGTTCATACCCACCAGCCGCTCTGGAAAATCCTGTACAGTTGCTGTAATGTGGTACTGACTTTGCAGTACACAAGAACAACATATAACTGTATTTTATTCATAATTTAAAAATCTGTGAAGCAAATGACATACCAACAAAGGAAATTGAGAGTCAAAGGATGACGTGACTAATTGTAATTGCTTCACCAATGACTGAAATTTCACCAAGACTTTTATCTTATTTACCTCAACCTTTCTTTTGTTCTTGAATGAATGTATATAAATACTGCTTTTGACTGATAAATATCCTGTTTTCCTTTTCATGTAGAAAATTCGTGCGCATAAATATTTTAGAAAGTATAAACAATGTTTTGTGCTAGAGTCGATTTTTCACTCATAGCAATCCCATGTTGAACCGAGTAGAACTGCTCCATAGCTTTTTCTTGGTGTAGTGTGCACTTTATGATAAGCACTGTATTGTGAACCACAAGGTCAGCAGTTCAAACATACCAGGTGCTCCTCAAACCCTATATATACAGTGTCGCTATGAGTTGAAACCAACTAGACCACACTTAACAACAAAGCAGCAACAAACAGTCTTTATTAGGGAAAGTGGCTACTCCATTGGGTAATCACTGGACTGTGAACCACAAGGCTGATGGTTCAAGCCCACAAGCTGCTCTGAAGGAGAAAGATGAAGCTTTCTGCTCCCGAAAAGATTTGGAGCCTGTTGTTAGTTGCTGCAAGTTGACCCCTGACTCATCGCATTTCATGTGTTGTTACAGAATAGAAGTAATCCATAGGAATGTTTCTTAAATGTGGTGCTGTGGATTAATGTGTTGGACTGCAAAGTCAACTTGGTCAGCATCACCAGCCACGCCTTGGAAACCCTATATAGGGTCGCTATTGGGTCCGAACTTACTTGAGGACACTTAACAGGAACAACATTATCTTAACGATGAAGCACATTGCTAGGTTTTGCTTTTGTGGAGCTGCTGGATAGGGTCAAAAGACCAATTGCAAACCACTTGCACCACTTTGCATTGCAATGATTAAGTAAGATTACAGACCTGTCAGAAAGCTGACTTATTTTCCCTTCAGAATATCTTTTAAAATGTACCTTTTCTGTTTTTATATCATTAGCTTATAGGAGCTCGACTAGACGAAGAAAGTTCTGTGGGACGAGAACAAGTCAATAAGGCCTATCATGCATATCGAGAGGTCTGCATTGATAGAGATAATTTGAAGAGCAAATTGGATAAAATGGTAAGTTGGTTTAAAAAGAAAGTAATATATTATAAATGAATTTTCTTTAACCAATTTAAAGTAGTTACAGATATTAAATAAAAATTAAATAGATGCTCAAGACAAAAATGGGATTTTGTAACTTATTTCTACACAAAATAAATAATGATGTAGTGATGCTTGAGCCTTGATTACACATTGGATAACCAGAAGGTCAGTGGTTCGAATCCACCAGCTGCTTTGTGGGAGAAAGATGCAGCAGTCTGTTTCAGTAATGATTTACAGCTGAAAATGCTTAAATACATATAGCACTAGTAACTTAGTTTGTAAAATCATGACATGGTAGAATTTGTCATTATGTTAAAAGGAAAAGAAGCCATTGAATGAAATATGCCCTAAATTAGAAAAAGAAAGAAGAGATTAATGAATACCAAGTTTTATTTTCCCAGGGCTATTATGAGTTTTTTTGTGTGTGTTATTTTAAATACCTACCCCGAAATGAAGATACAATACCTACCTATTAATTTTATTGAATGTAATCTGGCATTTTCCCTACTTAACTAGAATAAGGACAACTCTGAATCTTTGAAAGTATTGAATGAGCAGCTACAGTCTAAAGAAGTAGAACTCCTCCAGCTAAGGACAGAGGTGGAAACTCAGCAGGGTATGCCACTTACTTGTTATAAATTTTCTAACAGAATTAATGCATTTCATTTGTCCATTTATGTGTTGAATCTATTACCAGTGGTCTAAATCTGTATCTGAGCCTATATTTTCAAATTTTTAGGCATACATGAATTTATCTGTCGTGCTTTAATAAAGTATTAGCTTATTTTAACTTTCTCTTAAATATAAATTTCACTTTTCCAAGAGAAAACATAACGTTTTTATTCAGGGCTAGTTTGTGATGAAGTCGAGGAGGAGGGGAGTAGACCCCTCCCATCTTCATCAAAACCTTTTGCTCTAGCTTTCCCTTCCTGTTGAGCCTTTGTTTACACTGTCATGGAATAGTTATGATTGTTTTTTGTTTTGTTTTGTTTTTTTCTTTTCTGAACATTGTTAAAATAAGCAGATGAGACATTGGGGTAGAAGATCAGGTCTGAGGTATATGATTGTTAGCCAGTACCCATGAACATTGAGTGAAACCACCACAGTTAAGAGACCTTTTGATATGAGTTGCTATCTCAGAATAGCTGGTTGAGTTGTTTCTAAATAACAAGATTAAGGTACTGAGTATTAATTTCAAAATCAAGAATAAAGCAGTATCTAGTTGTATTGCCTTGTCTACGTTGGATTATTTATAAATTTGTTTTGATATCATGCTATTCAGTATTCCAGCCCTGATGGTTCTCCCTGAAGGGACTAGGTAAAATGATTAGCTGAGTGAGGCTCAGTTTATTACTTTTATTACTACTGTAACCTTTACTTTACAAAATAGGTGATTACTGATATGTGTACAATTCCAGTATATTTCATGTACTATCTTCTAAAGTTCCAGATTAGCAAATTTGTACATTAACTTAAACAGAATATGTGGGGTTGAGGTGACTAATACATTCTAAACCAACATTACTAGATATTCTTATTCTTGTTAACATAGATCTTTGAAAGCCATTACTATTTTTTTTATTATTACTACTATTAATTATTATACATGTTTCGCTTTGGTTCTCTTTACCAGCATAACCTTGGGATTGCAAGCAGTATAGAAAGCCGAGGTAACAATGTTCATGTCCATCCTTTTTGCAGTGATGAGGAATTTAAATCCACCTTCATCCAACTGGGAGGTGGAAAAGTTGAGCTGTGACTTGAAGATCCATAGTTTGGAACAAGAGCTAGAATTGATGAGGAAAGAATGCAGCGATCTCAAATTAGAGCTACAAAAATCCAAACAAATGGTACTAAAGAATTATGAAATTGAGAAATTCGGTATTCAGTGTGTAATATGTAGGAATTATAATTAAGTTTTAAACCAGAAAGAGCCCTCGTGCTGCAGTGGTAAAAACTCGGACTGCTAACTGCATGGTTGGAGGTTTCAACCTACTAGCTGCTTCCTAGGAGAAAGACGAGACTGTCGTCTTCCATAAAAATATATAGCCTTGGAAACCCTATGGGGGCAATCCTACTCTGTTCCCTAAGTTTGCTGTCAGTAGAATACATAGCAACAGCTTTGTTGTTGTTGTTAAGTACTGTGGAATTGATTCTGAAGTATAGGGCTTCTGAGTCTGTAAACTTTTGTACGAGCTTGAGATCCTCATCTTTCTCCCACGGAGCAGCTGGTGGGCTCAAAACACCAACCTTGTGGTTAGCAGTGCATAGAGTTGACATAAATTTTAACTATTGAGAAAGGGAATGTTCTCATTGTCTCTTAATCTATGTTTATCTTTTGCTAAAATTTATATACTCTTATTCAGGATTGCAGTTTTTTTGTGTAGAATTTAAAGAGAACTCAGGTTTCAAATTTCCCATTTAATTTAACTTAATATTTTGATGCATCTAGATACCACAAGAGCGGCATGGGTTTTAGAATTCTTAAACAGAATTTGTTAGAACCCTCTTCTTATTCAAAAGTCTTAATAAATCTGGGCAGCTTTGTCATTAAACAGCTGAGAACTGAAAAAATGAAGAGCGGGAAAACCTCTGCTGAATTGCTGAACTGTGGTTAGCTTAGAGTTACAAGGTGATTCTCTGGTCCTCACCAAGAGTCTGTTTAATCTGATACTTCACATTTAATTCTAACAAGACTGGATATATGTTTGAAGATGCTGTGACAGATCACATTGAGGATAAAAAGAGGAATTAAGTCAGAATCAAATCTATGTTAACAGTGTTTTGGTTTTGTGGACATTCCTGTCTGTCAAACTAAGGTAACCAGTTGTGTAATTCTTACTTAGTTCAATTATTTTGCCTACCAAAGCATTCCAACACAGTTGAGCTGGGTCATTACCTTAGTGTCCACAAAGTGAATTCCTGTGAACTGAGTGATGAGAACTTGCTCTGAAGCTCTAGTAAAAGGAAGCACTTATTATAAAAATTACTCTTAATGCTTGTTAAATGTTTTTAGTTTTTTTTTTCCTATTAGACATTTAAAGTTAATCTTCCCAACTTTGAATCTGTGACCACACTCAACAATTCCATCAAAGGTTCTCATTCAGCATGCCCAGTTGCCTTAGTGACCTCATAAAAAGATTTGCTCATAAGAAAAGTTCTGTAAGTTGAAGCTCTGAAATATAATTGTTAACCCCAAAACCCAACCAAGCCCATTGCCATGAAGTTAATTCCCACCCTTACTTAGTGAGTTTATGTAAGATTTCCAAGATTGAATTTTGACTGGAGTTGGGACAGCCTTATGTTTTTCCCTGAGAGTGATTGTTAGGTTTGAACTACTAACCTTGCAGTTTAGAAGTCCAGCATTTAACCCACAGCACCACCAGGACTTGCCTTTACACATTCTATTTGAAATGAAATCATTTCATAGCTTTTATACAGACTGGATACTATGTTATAGAGTGTGAAGAGGTATTGGTTAAGAGTACTAATTAGTCATAGTTGCATCGTAGCATTGGAATCATAAAAAGCTGAATTATAATTCTAAATTTTGCTTATTAGCTGTTTAACATTAAGATAGAAAATATAATTGTTTTGAGCTCGAACTTGTTTATAAAATTGACATCATAATACTTATTTTTATGAGTTGTTGTTGTTAGGTGCCACCGAGTCGATCTCGACCCATAGCTACTTTATGCACAGCAGAACGAAACACTGCCCAATCCTGGGGCACCATTACTACTGTAGATATGTTGTGTTAGATCTGGTAGCATAGTGATTATGAGTCAGGCTGCAAATCTCAAGGTTGGCAGTTCGAAACTACCAGTGTTTCCACAGGAGAAAGATGAGGCTTTCTGCTCCCATAAAGATTTACAACCTCGGAAACTCAATACAGGGTTGCTGTGAGTCAGAACCGAGTCCAGGGCACATAACCACCCCTGTGTTAGATAGTATATGTAAAGCAGCATAATTTTTTCAGTAAGGGAGTGTTAGAAACAACAGCAACAAAAACCCTAAAACATATAATAGAGTAATCCAGAAAAACATGTTTATGTGTGTATTAAGTATATTCCGTAGCATATAACCACCACCACCACCAGTATTTGGTAAGTTTCAGTTCTTAAGTTGCTACTCTTTTCCACTAGATGGTGCTAGAGAATATACTTTGCTTTTTGTTTTATGCATTATCATAAGTCACAGAAATTGACAGGTAGAAAAACTTTAGAAACATCAGTTTTCTTCTGCTGATGAGGAAATTGAGCATGAGCCCCAAAATATCTTAAGGATTGAGGATGTGATAAGGAGGGAATATTTTTTTAAAAAATGAAATTTGATCTCTAATTTTATAAGAATTTTTTTTTCAGTAGGCAGTGGCTAGGTGTAAACTAAAAAAATACAGCTAATATAAATAAATGAACCTGGGAAATGAATTTGGAACCCTTCATACATTTATTTCAGTATATATCAATACCAAGACTTCAATTCATTTTTGTGGAATGTGTACTTTCAAATGTTTCTTTGATGTTGCTGATCAGAAGCTTCTTGATAAGGGAAATCAAAACAGATAAATGAGAGAAATTTATGTTCACAATAATATTGTTGTTAAGTGCCTTCGATAGTGACCCTGTATAGGGTTTCTAAGGAGCAGCTGGTGGGTTTGAACCACCAATCTATTTTAAGTTTTTTGTTTTGTTTTTTATTTAACTCTGCATTACTGAAAACATTTAATCTTGCTTATATCTTTAAAATATTATAATTATTTTTAAGACTGTACTATGTAAAACATTCTGTAGAATCTTCTGAATTGTATAATAGCATCTTTCATTGACATATTTCTTGTGAAGTGCCGTTGATTCAGTTCCAACTCATATCAACCCTGTGTAGGCTTTCCGAGGAGGGGCTGGTGAGCCTGAACTGCTGACCGTGCAGTTCAAACCGACTTTGCAGTCCAGTGCATTAACCCACAGCTCCATATCCAGGACTCCATTGACGTAATAGTGGGTATTTTGTTGGACTCATGGTGTAGCAGTATAGGATAAGCACTGAATTGCGAACCACAAGGTCAGCGATTCAAACCCACCAACTGCTCCTTCGGAACCCTATATAGGGTCACTATGAGTTGGAACCGACTTGACAGCACTTAAAAACACAGCAGTTGATTTGAAGTATCTTCAGTATTCATCACTCTTCTTTCTTCTGCACATGGAGAAACAAATAGTTGTACTTTAGATGGCCGCTCATGAGCTATGAGTAGGATCCGACTTGACCACACTTAACAACAACATTTTATGTTAGTTTTATTTTTCTTGTATTTAATTTGTGAACTTGGTCTAACTGATGTGCCTTCCCATCTATCCCTCCCTAACAAATATTTTTTGGGCATTTATATTTTCCATTCCCACACACTTGTAAATGAAAAATTACAACTCTGACAAGGGCTGCTAGGAGCAGTACATGAGACTCCTAGAGTGTGTCACTGATGGAGCTAGCCTGGTCAGCTTTTATAAGGAAGTGTGTGGCTTCTTTATGGGCTGAGCAGAAGTAAGCCAGGCAGTAGGGGCTGCATTCCAAGCAGTGGGAACTCCTGGCCATAGCTCTCCTGAAAAAGTGAGCTTGGAATAGGCAAGGAACTGAAAGCAGCCAGAGTGGCCTGTGTTGGCAGCGTCCCAGAGAGTGAAGGGAATGAACATGGGGCAAGGCAAGTAGAAGTGGTGGGCAAGGGGTCAGGTCATTTGCCATATAGGGGTAAAGGATTGTGTTTCTATCCCTCCTCAACTCTAGGGAGAAATTCATGTCAGATCTTTGTTGTGTGTGATCTGGGAATAGTGACTTTTGGTTCATCTGCAGTCAGTAAGAATATTCACTGATTCCAGATGTGAATAGTCAGATTTCAAAGAACTATAACTTTGTGCTACCACTCGCCTGTCAGTTAGTCATAATGTGGTAGGTTGTGAGAGCTGTGATTCTGGAAGCTATGCCATGGGTATTTTAAATACCAGCAGGGTCACCCATGGTGGACAGGTTTCAAATGAGCTTCCAGATGAAGACAGAATAGGAAGAAGGAGAGACAAACTATTTCTGAATATTTAGTCATTGAAAACTTTATGAATGGCAGAGAAACACTGTCAGATATAGTGCCGGAAAATGAGCCTCTCAGGTTGGAAGGCAGTCAAAATGCGACTGGGGAAGAGCTGCCTCCTCAAAGTAGAGTTGACCATGATGATGCGAATTGAGTAAAGCCCTGGGGACCTTCATTTTCTGATGGGGTACAACTCAAAATGAAGAGAAACAGCTGTAAACATCCATTAATAATCGGAACATGGAATGTATGAACTATGAATCTAGGAAAATTGGAAATTGTCAAAAATGAAATGGAATGTATAAATATTGATATCTTAGGCCTTAGTTAACTGAAATGGACTAGTTATTGGCCATTTTGAATCTGACAACTACATAGTTTACTATGCCAGGAATGACAAATTGAAGAGGAATGGTGTTGCATTCATAGTCAAAAAGAACATATCCAGATTAGTCATGAGGTACAGTGCTGTCTGTGATTGGATAATAGCCATGAGCCTTATTGAGAAGACCAGTTAATACCACTATCATTCAAATTTACGCACCAACTACTAAAGCCAGTGAGGATGAAATAGAAGAATTCTACCAACTTCTTCAATCTGAAATTGATCAAATACGCAATCAAGATGTATTGATTATTACTGGTGATTGGAAAGAAACACAGAGGAAGGATCAGTAGTTGGAAAATACGGCTTTGGTGATAGAAATAATACTGGAGATCTCATAACATATCTGCAAAACCAATTATTTGTTCATTTCAAATACCTTCTTTAGACAACATAAGAGACGATTATACACATGGACCTCACCAGATGGAATACACAGAAATTAAATTGACTGTATCTGTGGAAAGAGACAGTGGAAAAGCTCTATGTCATCAGCCAAAACAAGGCCAGGGGCAGATTGTGGAACAGACCATGAATTGCTCATATGCAAATTAAAGATATCAGCTTGAGGACTAAAGTGCGCCTGACCCACGCCATGGTATTTTCAGTAACCTCATATGTATGCAATAGCTGCAAAGTGAATAAGGAAGACCATATAAAAATTGATGCATTTGAGTTATGGTGTTGGAGTTGAAAGTGCCATCGGCTGCCAAAAGAATCAACAGATCTGTGTTGGAAGAAGTGCAGCCAGAGTGCTCCTTGGAGGCCAGGATGGACAAACTTTGTCTCTCATACTTAGGACATATTGTCACAAGGGACCAGTTGCTGGAGAAGGATATCACGTTTGGTCAGGTGGAGGGTCAGAGAAAAAGAGGAAGAACCCCAGTGAGATGGATTAGCAATGTGGCAGCATCAGTGGGCTCAAGGTTGGCCCAGGACCGGGCAATGTTTTGTTCTGTTTTACATAAGATTGCTATGAGTTGGTACAGACTTGATGGCACCCAACAACAACAACAACAAGATTAGTGAGGTCATGGTTCCAGGGTCATTGCCAGTCCTTTGAGACATTTGGCATCCCCTGATTTTGTATCTGTTTATATTCATAACAGTTGAACCTAAGGAAAACAAACTCTTGGGTCAAAGAAATAAAAGAATTAGATGAATACAGTTGAGTTTATTTGCAAGATGTGTGAGGTGCCTAAGGAATTCACAATTTGCTATATTTACAGGTGGTGAGGCATCTTATAATATAGAAACCTATTTATTTCACTTAAACATTGTTTTTCAAGATTATGTAACCATGGGAGACTGTTTATGTGAAATTCTCAAATTTGATGGCAGTAAGAGTCAGGCTGCCAACTCGAAACTACCAGTGGTTCCATGAGAGAAAGATGAGGCATTCTGCTCCCATAAAGATTTACAGCCTCGGAAACCCTGTGCAGGGTCACTATGAGTCGGTACCGACTCCACGGTACTTAACAACAACAACCGTCTACTGAGTTGAACTGACTTGACCGCACTTAACAACTTAAGTGTTCTGTAGACATGCTGGGAAACAAATTCATTACTGTCTTTAGGAAATGGCAAACTGATGACTTTCCAGGAGCAGGTTTTTTGAATATTAAAGAAAATCCCTTTGTGCTTATTGCAGATACTCTGAATTTTTAAGAGATTAGCTGGAACAATACTGTTCCATTCAGACTCGGTGCCTGTTTTTTTTTT